CCCATGTGGGTGCAGGGTCCCAAAGCTTTGGGCTGTCCTCTGCTGGCCACAAGCAGAGAGCTGGATGTGAAGTGGAGTAGCCAAGACACAAATTGGCACTTGAAGGGGGAGTATGAGCCAATTTAGCCATTGCATTGCCCTACCCTGCTTTTTAATTTTTTTTTAAAGATTTATTTGTTTGTTTAGTTCAAAGAGATGGAGAGAAACAGAGAGATCTTCCATCTGTTGGTTTACTCCACATACGGTAGCAACAGCTTAGGATTGGGCTAAGTTGTAACCAGAAACTTCTCCCTGGTCTCTTACATAGGTTTCAGGGGGCTGAATTGGAAGTGGACACATCACCAATACCGGAACACAAACTGTGTTCCCCTCCTATATGGGGTTCGGGCACCTCAGGCTGTGGTTTCATAGGCTATGCCACAACACTGGCCCCCCGCACACTTGTTTTTCATTAGTATGTCATATACAAAACATGAGTATGAGACTTATGCAGAGGTTTATTGGTGGTAAAAAAAAAAAATATATATATATATATATATAGGAAACTCATGAGTATACCACAAGGACCATTTTCAAAAGCTTTCTCATCTGTATCATTTTAAACTATCTTCCAGGGCCTGGTGCGGTGGCCTAGCGGCTAAAGTCCTCGCCTTAAACGCGCCAGGATCCCATGTGGCTGCCAGTTCTAATCCTGGCTGCTCCACTTCCCATCCAACTCTCTGTCTGTGGCCTGGGAAAGTAGTCGAGGACAACCCAATGTTTTGGGACCCTGCACCCGCAGGGACCCAAACACATCACTGCTGCCTTCCAGGGTATACAATATAGGACACTAGAATCAGGGATGACCGGAAAGCTGGACCCAGGAGCAGACCCGGAACTCACACATGGCTCTCTGACATCCAAAGAGTACCAACTGCTGTGCCGAATGCCTGGGCTGGTGGATTTTTCATACCAAAAGGCTGGCATTTAGCATGGCCCATGTCCATGTTGCAGCTGGGGCTTGATTCCGAGTTTTGACTCCTGACTCTAACTTCCTGCTAACATGCACACGATACACTAGGCAGAGGGATGGGGCTGTGGTAATGCCACCACAGAGGCTTGGAGTGAGTTCCTACACCACACTTTATCCTTGCCCAGTCCAGGTCATTGCGGTCAACTTCAGTGAAAAGTGAATGGCCCTCTGTCTTTGCCTCACAACTATGCCAATATATATATATATATATATATAAACGTCTTTAAGAAATGTGCAGAAGCCGGGCCTGGCGGTGTGGCCTAGTGGCTAAAGTCCTCGCCTTGAATGCGCCGGGATTCCATATGGGTGCCAGTTCTGGACCCGGCAGCTCCACTTCCCATCCAGCTCCCTGCCTGTGGACTGGGAAAGTAGTCCAGGACGGCCCAAAGCTTTGGGACTCTGCACCTGCGTGGGATACCTGGAGGAGGTTCCTGGCTCCTGGCTTTGGATCGGCTCAGAATTGGCCGTTGTGCTCACTTGGGAATGAATCATCGGGTGGAAGATCTTTCTCTCTGTCTCTCTTCCTCTATGTATATCTGACTTTGTAATAAAAATAAAATAAATCTTAAAAAAAAATAAAGAAAGAAAGAAATGTGCAGAAGCCAGCATGGAGGCCTAGCAAGCTAATCCTCTGCCTGCAGCATCAACATCCTATCTGGGTGCCAGATTGAGTCTCTGATGCTTCTCTTTTGATCCAGTTCCCTGCTTCTAGTCTGGGAAAACAGCAGAGGATGGCACAAGTGCTTGGGCCTCTGCACCCACGTGGGAGACGCAGAAGTTCCTGGCTCCTGTCTTCAGACTGGCCCAACTCTGGCTGTTGTGGCCATTTCTTGAGTGAACCGGTAGATGGAAGACCTCCCTCTCTAACTCTCCCTCTCTCTGTAAATCGGCCCTTGCCACCCACGTGGGAGACTTAGTGGAGTTCCAGGCTCCTGGCTTTGACCTGCCTTGCTTGGCCCTTGTGGTCACTGAGGGAGTGAACCAGTGGATGGAAGATCTATTTTCTCTCTGTCTTTCCTTCCTTCTCTCTCTCTCTGTAAGTCTGCCTTCCAAATATAAATCTTTTTTTTTTTATTTGGGAGACATGTGCACATACTGATGTTTAAAATAGAAGTTAGTTGACTTTTTCTATAAATGGTCAAATAATATTTTAGTGTTTGAAAGAGTGGGACAGGAAAAGGGGGTGATCCTATTTCTCACTCATCATTAAGGGTCCTGGCCAACAGCAACATAGCAAGACAGGTTAACATAGGAAGGCATAACAAATTTATTTCATCACAGTTCCATGTGACATTGGAATCTTAAAAAAAAAAAGAGGCCAATATGCAAAGGCAAATGTCTATTCTATGGGTAGGTTTGACAAAACAGGTACAGCTGTGTAGAAATGGGGTTGGACAAAGGTCAGTCGTGATAAGGTCAGTGCAAAAACCCAGGAAAGCCTGTCTGTTCAGATTCTTCTGTACCTATTCGTGGTAGTATTACCTCCTTCTGGTTAGGGGGCAAAGCCCCTCTGGAACAAGGAAGGGTCTTATGACCTACTCTCAGATAATGGTAGGCAAGAAATTTTCTTTTCTTTTAGAAAAGTTTGTATCTACTTGAAAGTCAGAGAGAGTCTTCCATTCAATGGTTCACTCTGCTAGTGGCCGCAACAGCCAAAGCTAGGCCATTCTAGTTTTTTTGTTTGTTTGTTTTTAATATTTATTTAATTTTATTGGAAAGGCAATAGAAAGACAAAAGAAAAGACTGAGGGGGCAAATATCCTCCATCCACTGGTCCACTCCCCAGATGGGCACAACGGCCAGAGCTGAGCCAATCCAAAACCAGAAGCCAGCAGCTTCTTTGAGTCTCCCATGGGGGTTCAGGCTTCCAAGGTATTGGGTTATCCACTGTTGCTCTTCCTGACCACAAGCAGGGAGTTGGATGGAAAGTGGAGCAACCAGGACAGTTGCCCACATGGGAGGAGAAGATTAGCCAATTAAACTACTGTGCTAGGCCCTTGGACCAATCTGAAACCAGGAACCAAGAGCTCCTTCTGGATCTCCCATGTGGATACAAGATCCCAAGGACTTGAGTCATTTTTTTGCTGGAGGACTAGACTGCTATAACACTGTGCTGACCCTGAAAAAAACTTTTCCTTTCTTTTTTAAAGATTTTTTATTGGACAGTCAGAATTACAGAAAGGAGAGACAGAGAGAAAGATCTTCCCTCCACTGCTGATTCACTCATAAAGTGGCCACCACAGCTGGAGCTGAGCCAATCTGAAGCCAGAAGCCAGGAGCTTCTTCTGGGTCTCCCACATGGGTGCAGGGGCCCAAGGCTTTGGGCTGTCCTCGACTGCTTTCCCAGGCCACAAGCAGGGAGCACCCGCCAGCGAGAGTTGGGACTGTGGGCAGGCTGGCTCAGTCCAGGTTATACCATCCAAAGGCAAAGGCCAAGACAAGGGCGGGATTATGCCAAGCTGGGTCAGAGCTACCGCTGGCACACACAAAATCTAAGGCTGAGGGCCTGGCGTGATAGCGCAGTGGTTAAAGTCCTCACTTTGCACTCGCCGGGACCCCATATGCACTGGTTCTAATCCCGGTGGTCCCGCTTCCCATCTAGCTCCCTGCTTGTGGCCTGGGAAAGCAGTTAAGGACAGCCCAAAGCTTTGGGATTGCACCCACGTGGGAGACCGGGAAGAGCCAGGTTGAAGCCAGGAGCCAGGAAGTTCATCTAGAGTTCTGCCACATGGGTGCAGGCACCCAAGCACTTGGTCCATCTTCTGTGACTTTCCAGGGTGAAACAGCAGAGAGCTGCATTGAAAATGAAGCAGCCAGGACTTGAACCAGTGCTTATAGTCTGCCAGCATAGAGTCTCTTAGCTCACTGCACCACAATGCTGCCCTTAATCGCTTTTAAAAATAAACTCTCACTTGACCACAACCATAACCATTTTAAACCCAAGGTTTTTAAATGCTGATGGGTTTGCAGCATTTGCAAACATTGTGAAGTGTATGCTCCTTTTCTTTTACATGTGGACATTGTCTTAAAAATATTTCATTACCCTGTTTACACGTCTTAACGCTTGGTAAACCTGTCATCTCTTTCTCTTCATCCACATTTTAAAAAAAATCACTAAATCACTTTGGAATCTCAGTGGTCACTCTCTCGGCTGGTAACTGAGTAAGTATTTTTGGAAGTTCTGTCCCCTGGTTGGGAGCTCCCCCCCCAACCCACCCACCCCCGCATCACCACTGGATTAGAAGAATTGAAACATCCACTGTCTTTGAGCTGAGAGGATTTCAGTGAGTCAGTATCCCGGAGTCATCACTTCCTTTTCTCCTCCTCTGCTTGACAGAGGACAGGAAGTCACAGGTCTCTTGCTGAGACTTCGAAGATCCAGTTCAGGAAACTTAACCTCTGGTCGGTGTTTCTTCAGGTGCGGCAAGGCCGCTCTGACTTTAATCCCTAGCACAGCTGCCCCTGTCAGTTTAGGAGTCTTCAAACCACGGGGCTAGCGGCTAACTGACAAGCCAAGCTCTTGTCCAGGTCTTTTCGGGCAAGTCCCTTTGGTAGGAAAGACCCCTATCCCATCTCACCCCACCCCAGCCTCCGCCAGGTCTGGGCATAGGCTGCTGGTGAGGCAAGTTTTGGGTGGTGAGAACTTGCTCAGACCCAGCCTCACAAGTGAGAATGACTTTCCAGTTTTGCCACAGTTCATCGCCCCCATTCACCACGCTCCCCCTCCCCCTACAATTGACAGTGCAGTTGACCTCAGGCTCCACCTCAGAGAGTCCCGGCAGCTGCGACGGTGTAGCCCCCGCGCCTCGGCGATCCTCTAGACCCAGGAGGCCAGGGTTGCACAGAGAGGGGGTGGAGAGGATTTAGGGCCGGGCCTGGTGCCTAGCGAGAAAGGCGGCGAGCCGGGGTGCTGAGTGGGGAGGAGCCTGCACGACGGGGCGTGGTCGGGCGGGGCGGGCCGGGACAGGACCCGGACGGCGGGCGGGAGCCGGTGCAGCCGGCGGGCGCCCTCGGTTCTGCGCGCCTCGTGGTGAGGCTCGCCGGGGCCCGCGGAGCAGCGACCATCGAACAGACATGATCTGGGCCAAGAGAGAAAGGAGCGAGACCACTCCCGCCGGCCGATCGGGCGATGAACCCGGAGCCCTTATCGCGCCAGTTAGGAGGCAGGAGCCGTCAGGCCGCTTTGGCTGTGTAAAACCCGGTCCCTGCTGACACCAACCGTGAGTAACCTGGTCGCGGCGGCTGCGGCGACGGGAGAAACCTGGAGGAGGGCCTGAGCCTTTGATTGGGCTGATGAGAGTAGAAGTTTCTGGAAGTTGGGGGAAGTTATAAATGTGGAAGGTGGGAGACATGGAGAAGACTCTGCCATAAGCTGAAGTCCCCACCTACCTTGCACATGTTAACAGGGTTCCTGGAGAGGACGGTGATGCTCAAAAAGGCCAAGTTCTAAAGGGCAGAAAGTCTCTCACCTGGCTTGTGTGTCCCCACGGAACAGTCCTTCATGAGGTAGGTAGCTTGTGAGCCTTTGGAATGAATGCCAGAAGCTTCAGGCTTCTGTGTTGGTGGGTGGGGACAGCCCAGCACCTGCCAGCCGATCTCCTGTCAGGTGTGGGCCTTGGGCTCTAACTGGTTCTGCAGGATGCCTCCAGGCCTGAGAAGTGAATCTAGATCTATAGGCGTCCAGCAGTGCCCCTCAGGTGGGTGCAGTGGCAAGCACTGGCATCCTTCCAGGTGTCCACTGAGCAGGGGGTGGGGGAGGGAGGAGACTTAGTGGTTTGATGACACTGGGCGAACAGAATGAGGACTGTGAAGTCACAGAGGAAGTGCAATGCCAGAGCTGGGGGACCCGGGGCTGGCCACCTGGAGCTGGGAAACTTGTGGCTCGGGCTGACTCAGGGGAGGAGCTGGGTGTGTCTGGTGCCGCCCGGGGAACTGATGCGCTGGTGAGGCCACCCCACAGCAAGGGCCCTCCCTTCCCCACCTATAGCAGAGCGAGTGCAGTCCCCTGTCCACCTTCTGGAAGCCTAAATACCAGCCGCACCATGCAGAGGAAAACAGTGCTAAGGGTGACACTTGCTGCTGCCCCGTTCTCCCAAGTCGCCTCCTGGCAGACCACCCTTGCCCAGGACCATGCCTGGCTCCCTGGGCTTTGGGTCTTCCTCAGTAATTGACACCTAGGATTTGGGGTGTCAGGACGCTGTGGGTGGAAACGTACCCTGCAGAGCAGAGTGGAGAAGATCACTGACTGCCACCCTCCTCCTCCTCAGATGCAGAGGCCTCCATGGCTGTGATAAGCCTGCTGTTTTTGGCAGTGATGTATGTTGTTCATCACCCCCTGTTCGTCAGCGACCGAATGGACCTGGACACATTGGCCAGGAGTCGGCAGCTGGAGAAGCGACTGAGCGAGGAGATGCGCCAGTTAGAGACAGAGTTCGAAGAGAGGAAGCGGGCGGCTGAACAGAAGCAGAAGGCTGAGAACTTTTGGAGAGGGGACACATCTGATGACTTGGTGCTGGGGAAGAAAGACATGGGGTGGCCGTTCCGGGCTGATGGCCAGGAAGGGCCTCTGGGCTGGTTACTGGGCAACGCGTGGAACGCCGGCCTCTTCTGCCTCTTCCTCATCTTTGAGCTCCTGCGACAGAACATGCAGCATGAGCCAGCCTTTGATTCCAGCAGTGAGGAGGAGGAGGAGGAGGAAGTCCGGATTGTGCCTGTCACCTCGTACAACTGGCTCGCCGACTTCCCCTCACAGGAGGCCCTGGAATCCTTTTACAAACACTACGTCCAAAACGCCATCCGTGACCTGCCGAGCACCTGTGAATTCGTGGAGAGCTTTGTGGACGATCTCATTGAGGCCTGTAGGGTGCTCAGCCGCCGCGAAGCTCACCCACAGTTGGAGGATTGCCTGGGCACTGGGGCTGCCTTTGAGAAGTGGGGGACCCTCCACGAGACCCACACATTTGATGTCCTGGTGCCCATTGTTCCCCCGCAAGGCACTATGTTTGTCTTGGAGATGAGGAATTCGGTCCTGGGCCACCGCTGTGGCAGTGTGTTGGTGGAGTCGGAGTGTATGTGCAAACGCGAGAAGCTCCTGGGTGATGTGCTGTGCCTTGTGCACCACCACAGGGACCCCACGGGGGTGGGGAGCAAATGTGGCAGCTCCATCAAGGCGGCCCTTTGCACTGGCTCCCAACTGGACGTGTGCAAGACTGTGCAGTGGTTCCGCAACATGGTAGGCAACGCCTGGGCCCTTGTGGCCCACAAGTATGACTTCAAGCTCAGCCTCCCGCCGTCCACCACCTCGTGCAAGCTGAGGTTGGACTACCGCTCAGGCCGTTTTCTCTCCATCCAGCTGCTCTTGGGGGTGCAGCGAGAAGACACCTTGGTCTACCTGGTGAGTCAGGCTGCTGACCAGGAACAGCTCAGCAGCGTGGACTGGCCTGAGTCTTTTGCAGCCTGTGAACACTTATTTCTGAAGCTGGTGGGGCGCTTTGCCCCTGAGAACACTTGTCACCTCAAGTGCCTCCAGATCATTTTAAGCCTCCAGGATCACCGAAGCTTACCCCCTGGGGCATCTCACCCCATCCTCACCTCCTACCACTTCAAGACGGCCCTAATGCACCTGTTGTTGCGCTTACCCCTCACGGACTGGCAGCACAACATGCTGTCACAGCGGCTGCAGGACATTCTTTGGTTCTTGGGGCGTGGCCTCCAACAAAGGTCTCTCCATCATTTCCTCATTGGGAACAGCTTCCTCCCCCTCACCATCCCGATCCCTAAGACATTTCGGAATGCTGAACCTGTCAATCTCTTCCAGCACCTGGTGCTAAACCCTGTAGCACATTCACAGGCAGTGGAAGAGTTCCACAACCTCCTGACTCAGGTGAAAACCCTGCCCTGTGCCCCATTGGCTGGGGCGCTTTAAAGACCAGTACAAAAGCCAACCCACAAAAAAAAAATATGCACTGCACATAACGGGAGAAGGTATTTCTGATTTCTCAGGCTGCAAGAGTTTGTTGTTGTTGGGGGTTGAGTTTGTTTTTATGTACTATCAGCTTTAAGGGAAGCTTCACCTTGCCAGTGTGGATTGTGATAACATAAATGGGGTGTGTGAGGTTAAGGTGATCCGTGCAGTCTGCTGGGCCCTCCTTAGATGAGGCGCTGGAGGCTTTCCTTCTTCTGACTTTACTCTCATCACAATCCGAAGCAGGTCCAGGGAAATGGATGCTAGGGGAGGGTGTCGCTGCTCAGGACTTGGGATCCAGAAGGGGCCTGTGAGGTTGTGTTTTTTTCTAGCAACACTGGAAGTGAAAGAGAACCAGAGAATACCTCCATCCCAGCTGATTGTTTTTTTGTGAGCCATTCCCAACATAATCCTGTGAGCTGCTTTCCTTGTTGCAACTCAATTCTTATCCAAGCTGATGGCAAGTCCATTTTATCCCAGATACTGTGAGACCAACTTTTTATATATTTTAGGACCTAGTTTTCCACACCTTTGCTATTTGGAAAATATAACCAAGATGGCTTATTTTCTATTAGTTTTTGTACGGCATAGTTATTTTTTTTAATACATTTTGGGGAGGAAAAAAACCACTACAGTACTACCCAAATAAATTACTAGCACTGACTTATAAACAAACATTAAATCATAGTGACCTGGCCCATAATGGGGATAGTTATTTCCTATGCATTTCCTATAAACAATGAAATAGCTGTCTGATAGCTTGCTGAGTGCCTGAAAATAACATTATAAGCGATTGACAAGGACAGTCTTTCTGGGGGCCCTTGAGGGGAACCATTACTTTGTTTTGAGTGGGAGCCACTTAGGAAATGGAAAGATTTGGCTACGTGTGTAGCAGGCTTTGTTGGTTTTTTTTTCCACAGCTGAGTGGTGAGTTTGTATTCTCTTTTCAAAGATGACAAAGGGATTACTTGAAGCATGTTTGTGATTTTGAAGAGTGGGCTCACACAACCCAGGCCTGTTGCCAGGTCTGGACAGGAAGGCACTGTGAAGCAGTCCAACTCCAACTAAGTTGTGTCCCTAAACATGGGTCGGCTGTTATTTCCCCCCTTCTCTTAAACCTGGGCATCCTGTGGAGGAGTGTTAATAGCTTAGGGTGTGATTGTTTGAGAAATACCAGTACTGTTCTACCCAGCAATATCAGGAAGGTCTGCTGGGGAGAACCTGGCCCCACATGTAACTTTGACCTCATTGTGGGGCACAAGGGGGTGATTAGATACTGTTTTTTATGGACTTTTATTGTAGAATCCACACCCTCTCCTCAACAACGATATAAGCAAAATAAAAATTAAGACATTAAAAGTGTCCCCAAAACTGGTGCCAGTCAATTTAGGGGGACCTCACTGGCATCTACCAGGTACTATCTTTAGGGAAATATGTGATGATGGTTGGGTCTATGCTGGTGGCATTTTGGTGTTTTAAAATCCCTTTGCTGGTACTTCCATTTGAAATCAATAAAAGAGGCTGTTTTCTATGTAAATTGGATCTGTGCAGTAACACCCTCAGCAGATGAGTATGCTTAGGTGCTTGTTCCCAAGAGACTCACATTACCCTGACAGCTTCATCCTGGTATTTCTCAACATACCTTGAACCAGTCTGTCCTGTGGTTTTCCAGTGGCATGGCCGGTAGCCAGGAAAGAGTAAGTCAGATGTTAAGGAACATCAAGGTTATTCATTTTCATGGTGCTCAATAAAAAGTATCAGCCAGCTAAAAGGACCTCAGCAGCTACCAACAACACATGTAAGCTCTCGTCTGTTTAGGTGAAAAGAACATGATAAGGCTTCTAGGAGGACATGTTTGTTCCTAGGCTAACGGGGGACAAGAGAACAGTGTGTAAAGTTAGGAGTAGGCAGATTACAAAGGGAATAGCCAGCAATGCTTGGGTGTGGCCGAGGGTGCAAGAAAGGATACGGAAGACAGATCAGGCGGCAATGGAGAAAACAGACACCCATAGTGCTCTGGGAATATTCTTGTGATTAGAAGGGAAACCTCCCAGATTAGGAAACTGAGATGTGAAAACAAAACCTGCCTAATCCCCCAGGATACAACAGCAGTTATGGTCACAGTGTACATATTGTTCACTAAACACTGCCAATGGCCCAGGCACTGTTTAGCTTTCCATCTGGTATTTCATTTAATCCTCTCACCTTAGAATGTTGTGAAGAAGGCTCCTTATCCCCTCCATGGTACATAGGAGAAACAGAAAAGATATGTAGGGCTGGCATTGTGATGTAGTGGGTAAAGCCACTGTCAGTGATGCCAGCATTCCATATGGGCACTAGTTTGAGACTTAGCTGCCCCTACTTCTGATCCAGCTTCCTGCCAATATACCTGGGAAAGCAGCAGAGGGTGGCTTAAGTGCTTGGGCTCTGGCAACCATGTAGGATGCCCAGAAGTAGCCATATGCTCCTGGCTTCAGCCTGGCCTAGCTCTGGCTGTTGCAGCTATTTAGGGAGTGAACCAGCAGATGGAAGATATCTCTGTCTCCCACTGTCTTTCCCATATTCGCACCACTGGTGACAGAGCCTGGAAGAGAGTGATTAGCCCTGGCCTCCTTTCAGTGTGGTTTTAGGAGTGAAACAGGCTCTGAGGATGGAGGTGTCACGAAGAGCAAAATGCTTTATGTTAATAAATATTAAGCTGAAGGGTAGTATGTTATGTGCATTATTATTATTTGGAAATTCTAGAAGCCAGAAACTGTTGGTTCTTAGCCCAGTCTTTAGGAGGTCTGGAATTTCATAGTCTGTACAAGAATTAAAGGCATTTTCTCAGAGGTCAAAATGCATGCAAGGTCATTTCAACTGGGGGTGGGGAGTGCCCACTGAATCCCAGGGACTTGATGGCTTAAGAGCAAGAGCTACATTATGACGTAAGCCAGCCGCATGCTGGAAGGTCAGAGTGAATTTGAAGCTACAGAAGGCTTGTTCAAGCAGTCCATTGACAACGCTGTCGTTTACAGGAAGGTTTGTTTCCCATGTCTTCAGAAGAAGAATCCCTGTGAGCAGTGACGCAGACAGGGATGGCCCAGCCCGCTTTTCTGGCTGCCTGCGGGGTGGGGGAGGGACCCCCCTACTTCTGCATAAACACAGGAATTGAGCTTTGCACTCCACTGATATCAGTCACAGATCAGTCAATCCCTTGGCACCGCCCATAGCCCTAACCCTAAAACAAAGACACCATTCAGAACCAGGAGGTCACAGACTTGTCTGCACTGGAAGTGCCTGGCACACAAAGCTGTCTCCCCAGCGCTGGGAGTCCCAAGCAGTCAGCTAGGGAGGCGCCATTATTGTCACAGAGAAGGTTCAAGCCTCATCTTCCCCCGGCCGGGGTTGGAGAGAGGCTGAGGGGCAATTCCATGCCACCAAACACCATCCCTCCCTAATACTCATTGCTCTGAATGAACAGGGAATCCTGAGGAGCGGCTGTTTCTACTTGTCCTATGTCAAAACACACTTAACAGGAAGAACAAACCAGAAATGACAGGGACTCATGGGTACACTGAGTCCACAGGCTCCCAGAGACTTTATAACTTGATTCTTCATAAAGTGAGGGGATATTGTCCACGAACCCGGCACCTACATGGGATCCTGGCACTTGGAGGTGGAAGATTAGCCAGTTGAGCTATCGTGTCATGTCCAATGTCATCTTCATTTTAAAGGTGGGGAAGAAAATGAGATGAACATGCTAACCCAGGATTTAAACTTGTCATTCAGCTTCACTCATTCCATGTATATATATGGTTTTTTTTTTTTTTTGGAGTTACATAGAGATCTTCCATCTTCTCATTCACTGCCTAGATGGTTGTAATGCTGGGCCAGGCCCAAGACAGGAGCCAGGAGCTTCACTCAGGTTTCCTACATGAATGGTAGGAGCCCAAACATTTGTGTTATTTTCTGCTGTTTTTCCCAGGTACATGAGCAAGAAGCTGGGATGTAGCAGGGATGTGAACTCGGTGCCCATGTGGGATACTGGTGTTGCAGGTAGCACTTTCTATCCACTATGCCATAACGTCAGTCCCATTCAATACATGTTTAAGAAGTTGCTGTGTTCAGGGCCAGCCTCAGGACCTGGGAGAACAGTGGTGTGCAGACACAGCTTTGCTGTCAATCATTTTACAATGTATGGAAGTGACAGAAATGAACTATCACCCCATACAGGTACGGGTACTGAGTCCCCAGTACACAGCTGCCACCAAGCTCAGCCCAAACCATTGTTGGCATTTGAGTGACCCAGCAGACAGAAACCCTTTGTCTCTCTCAAATAATTAAAAATTGGGGGTCAACAGTGACTTCCAACATAGGACAGCAACCAAAATGATTGAAGGGCATGGATGGCATGTGGTGGGCTGAATCTCAGGCATGTCAGTGTCTTACAAAGAGGGCAGCAGCAACAAAACATACACACACATATAACACACAAAGGAGCAAGAGCCCTGTCCCTCATACTAAAAACCGCCCAACCTTTAGTGACCAAAACACAAAGAATCCCTGTAAAAGATTCCAGATGTGGGGCTGGCGCTGTGGTATAGCACAATAAGCCTTCAACTTGCAGTGCCAATATCCCATATTTTGGGGGAGTGAGGGTAAGGGCCTGTTTTGAGTCCTGGTTGTTACCACTTGTGAGCCAGCTCTTTCATAATGTGCCTGGAAAGCAGCAGAGGACGGGCGAAGTGCTCAAGCCCCATACCCACGTGGGAGACCCGGAGGAAGCTTCTGGCTGTTAGCTTCAGGCAGGCTCGGTCAGCCCAGCCCTTGTAGCCACTGGGGAGGGATGGCAGATCTGTGTCTCCCCTCTCTGTTAACTCTGCCTTTCAATTACAAATAAGCGAACGTTAAAAAAAAAAAAAAAAAAGCCTGTTACAATAGAGTAAAAGGCGCTTATAGGGATATGGGGGGCACGCCCCTTCTTCCCACAGTACAACCCCCTGGAGTCAGGTGAAGCTGAGTGGACAAGGGGGCACCTGATACACCACTCCAGCCTTTCACTGGGGGTGAGAGGAACATGATTTCCAGGAAGACTTTCACAAGAATCCGTTACGATGGTTTTCATTGCGAAAGAAATAATAAAAATTAAAAAGTACACAGCACTGATTTCTCCTCCTCCAAGGGCCTAATTTCGGGACCAGCTGGCTCTCACCCCACCCCATCTTCACTCTGCACTTCTTCAGCATTCAAAAAAAATTCGTCGAGAAAAACCCGTTTCTTCGGTAATCGGGATCCCTTTTAGAAATTCCGCGAAAGCAGTCCTGGCCCGTCCCACTCCACGCTGAGTCCCCGGCTCCCAGGGCCGTGCCCAGCCCTCAGAAAGCGGGGGTAACCACACGAGGACAGTGCCTGCACAGTCCTCCGGCAGGACACCCCAAGGCGCTAGGATCCCAATGCCGGACGCCTCACTTCCGGCTGGTACGTGGCGACCCCGTACTCACAGCGGAGCCAGACAGTCTGCGCAGGCGCAACCGTGACCCCGCCCCGAGTGACGTCACGCGTCCGTTACGGTGCCCGGGCGTCAGGGCGCGCGCGATTTAAAACAGCCTGGGAGGCAGCGGAAGCAAGATGGGTCCTCCTTTCCCAGGTGAGATGGGCCGGCGGGGAGGCACGGCGCCACCTCGGTGCTCCTGGGTGGACAGGGCAGGCGGGCTGCCCGAGCTGGGGAGGGTGGACGTGCTTGGGCCGCGCGCGTGGGGTGCCTGCGCCTGCACCCGGCGGGCTGTGTGGGCGCTGCAAGGGCCGCCCGTCCTGGAAGGGGGTCTCCGCGCGGTGGAAGGATTGTGGTTACCCCCGTTCCCACATTCATTCAAAAAAAAAAAAAAAGGATCCCGTGCTCGCTTGGGGGCAGCCGGCACTTGTCGGGTGCAGAGCTGTGGTCAACAAGAAGACTGATGAAATGAGAACCTCGACGACCCATGCAAAGTGCAGGGCGACAGCTGAGACCTGCTGGCCGACGTTCCTCGGGGACCAATATGTCCCACAGAGACAGAGATTTTGCAGAGTAGGGGAGGCAAACCAGGCGACAGGGGGAGAAGGTTGAAAAATGAGCTGGGGGGTGAGGAAGCGGGCACAGCGAGCTGTTTGAGTTCAGCAGCGCCTGTGGAGTTAATGGAGACATGGTGCCAGAGGCGAGCAGAGAAGCCAGGAGACCACTGGAGGCAGGGAGGGCGTTAGGTCTGCCTCTTTGTGGTCAGCCGGTGCCCTTCGACAAGCGCTTCCTTTAGCACTGTTTTGTCCTAGTGTCTCTTTTTCTTAGAAGCCAGCTCCCTTATTCACTCTGAGGCACCAGCATCCAGTCACAGGTCCTATTGATTTTCTTTCTAGAAAGGTCTCTTGCCTCTTTCTTGTTTGTTTCCTTTTTGTCTGTTCTGACTTCAGTTGAGAGTTACTGTATTCATATTCTTCATTGGGGAACACAGGAGGTAGTTCTTATATTTTATTTGTTCTCTGCTATCCTTAATCACTACTATTTTTTTTGTTTTTACTACTCCTATTTAATGTCTCTGCTCACATGAGCAGTTGTCTGTTGTTTCTATGTTTATTTCTTCATTTGAGCATGTTCCCATCAGCTGGTTCACTCCCTGAATGCCTGCCATAGCCAGGAGCTGGGAAGCCAGGTCTTCCACGTGGGTACAAGAAGCCAGCTCTTTGAGTACTGGAGCTGTCACGGCCACTGCCTGTCAGGGTCCTTTCTAGCAGGAAGCTGGAGTTGAGAGTGGAGCACTGGGACCCAGGCCCCTGGGGTGGGATGTGCTATCCTTAGCTGGCAGCTGAACAGCCCTGCCAGATGTCTGCCCCTTACCACCTTCAGGCATTCCTGTAAGATGTGTTACGTTGTGCATATTTTCTGTGTCATCAATTCTCATTACAAACATTCCCATTTGGAGAATAAAGAAGCAAGGGCTTAGAGTGCTTAACACTTCACCAGCTGGGAAGTAAGGGAGCTGGGTTTGAAGCCAGACCTTCTGACTCTGAAATCTGGGAACTTCCTCCCGAGGTGTCTCAGCTCTTCCTTCTCTTTCCCAGTATCGCTGTTTCTTGCTCTCCTGTAGTGGACCATGGCACATGACCGTGTCATCTCAGTTTTTGATGCTCAGTGCTGAGTACCACTCTGTATTCTGCTTTTTACCATCACTCCCCACTCTCATCTCCTTGGTCCATTCTGTGTTAGGTCCATATAATCCCTCCTGTTCCTCCTTGCTCTCTTTGCTTCCTTAATACTTGCTTGACAGCAATCACGGCCCTGCCAGTCTGCATGCTGGATGACGATGAGGGAAGAACAGCAGCAATGCTGAGTCGTCTCTGGAATGTGAAGGTCCCCAACAGTCATGCTGCATTTCCTGATTCATATACTCTCTCCTAGAAGGCTTTGCGAGCATCCCTTTTCTTTCTCTAGTACTGCTCCGCATAGCTGCTAGGTGATGTGTTTTTCCTTGCTTTCTGTTTTGTTAGGTCAGTAAAGACAGGAATGCAGAATCATCATGGCACAGCTCGCATCTCATGTTGGGACTCTAGTTTGAATCCCAGCTGCTCCACCTCAGCTCCCTGCTGTTGTGCTTGGAAAGAAGCAGTGACTGATAGACCAAGTGCTTGGGTGTCAGAGACCTGGCTGAAGTTCCAGCCTTGTGACTTTGGGCTAAACCAGTTCTTGGAGCCGTAGCTGTTTGGGAAGTGAACCAGTGGATTAAAGATTGATTTCTCTCTCTCCCTCTCGATCCTTCTCTCTCTCTATCTCCCCTTCTCCTTCCTCCCTCTCTTTCCTTCCCTCCCTCCCCCTCTCTCTCCTCCTCTCTATACACAACATTAGAGGAGAAGGGAAAGAGGAAGAGAGGCTATTATGTATTACAAATTTCTTGGATTATTCCCAGATTGTTTAAGCTGATTTCTTTCTCTGTTTTTGGATCAGTGATTGGTCAAAAGCTTGTGTTGCTTTTGATATAAATGACTTCTTGGTTTCTTTTAATCTAGAAGAATCCTCCTACTTTTTCTTTTGTTCCGTTTTGTTTTGAAACTTGCTTTAAAAAAAAAGATTTGTTTATTTCTATTTGAAAGACAAAGTTACAGAGAGGAGAAACCGAGAAAGAGAAACTCCATACTCTGGTTCGTGCTCCAAATGGCTGCAGTGGCTGGGTCTGGGACCAGTTTGGAGCTAGGAGCTTCTTCCTGGACTGCCACAGGGGTACAGGGGCCAAACCACTTGGACCATTCTCTGCTGCTTTACCAGGGCATTAGCAGGAAGCTGGATCAGAAGTGGAGCAGCTAGGACTTGAAATGGTGCCCATATGGGATGCTGTCACCACAAGTGGAGGCTTAACTTGCTGTGCTGCAGCACCAGCCAGCCTTGACACTTTTTCTTTGAGACCAAACCACATCGTTAATTTGTATGAATGTTTCCTTGTGTCATTTAGGCTATTTTCAACTCCTTGTTGCTTTTTTTTTTTTTTTTTTTAAAGATTTATTTGTTTTCATTGGAAAGTAAGGTTTACAAACAGAAGAAGAGATGGATAGATCTCCCATCCGTTGGTTCACTCCCCAAGTGACTACGATGGCCGGAGCTGAGCTGATCCAAAGCAAGGAGCTTCTTCCAGGTCTCCCACACAAGTGCAGGGTCCCAAGGCTTTGGGCCGTCCTCCACTGCCTTCCCAGGCCACAAGCAGAGAGCTGGATGGAAGTGGGTCAGCCAGGGTATGAACTGGCACTCATATAGGATCCTGGTGTGTGAAGCACTTTAATCACCAGGCTATGGAGCAGGCCCTTCTCCCACCTTTGTTTTTAATATATTTATTTATTTGAAAGGTAGAGTCAGAGAGAGAGAGCCCCTAATGATTACAACAGCCAGGTCTGGGCCAGGCCAAAACCAGAAGCCTGGAACCCTATCCAAGTCCTCCTTGCAGGTAGCAGGGACCAAAATACTTAGGCCATCTTCCATTGCTTTCCCAGGGAACTGGATCATAGTGGAGTAGCCAGGACTCGAACCAGAGCTGCATAGGGGATGCCAGCATTGCAGGTAGCAGCTTGGCCAGTTGTACAACAGTACTGACACCCAACTCCTTGTTTTTTCCCACAAACTGGAAGTTAAATTTTTGATTAAATTTAGGTTAGGCTTCTACCAGAATTTTCCCTAAGTGATGACTTTGATCTTGTGTCATGTCAGATGAGTAAGCTTTAGGTTGGCTTGTTTGTAGTGAGGCTGCATTTGCCTGCTCGGTCAGTGTGACGGCCAGAGCTTCCTTTTCAAAGGACATCTGCAGCCAGTGAGTCATCTGTAGGTACTTCCTCAGTGTTCTGTTTAGTTTGTACAGGCTTGTTCGCTCTGTCTATCCAGATACACATGAACTGGAACTGGAATCCCAGGGGCTGATGAGTTGGTCAGAAGCAACAACTGTATCCATAGCTCCCATCCACGGCTTAGGTTTGTTGTAGCTGCAGAGTGGCTGTCCTATCTCTCCCTCACCTCAAAGAAAACCACACTGTAAAGGTCATAGCATCAAGTAAGGGAGTTGGGAGAGATATTAATGGAACTGTGTGGTGAACCTCTACCCCTGTGACAGGCCCAAGGCCCTGTTAGATGCAGGAAATGCTCTGTTAATGGTTTCTTGTGAGATTTGTTTATTTATTTGAAAGGAAGAGCTAGGGAAGGAAATGAGAACAGTGGCCGGGAGCTTCCTCTGGATCTCCTCTGTGGATGCAGGAGTCCAAGTGTTGGACCATCTTTTGCTGCTTTGACAGGAGTATTAGCTGGGAGCAGGATGGAAAATGGAGTAGCCTGAACTGGAACCAGTACCTGTGTGGGATGCCAGCAGCACAGATTGTGGCTTAAACCCACCATGTCACAGTGCTGGTCCCAAAGGTTTGCTGAGCAAATGTTTCGCTCCTTCACCGCCAGTCCTAATCTATAACTTTCCCTCAGATGTCCGTGGACGCCCCGTCAGTGTGTCCTCCCCGTCAGAGCGGACGTTCTCCATGGCCCTGCCTAAGAAGGCTGCGCTCAGCACACCTGGCACCCCCGTGCTTCAGGACTTCCCTCAGAATGACGACGAAAAGGAGAGGATGCAGCGGAGGCGCTCTAGGGTCATTGACCTGCAGTTCAGCACTGACCCAACGCATCTGGTAGCCTCCCCTTCCAGTAGGTGAGCGTGTTTCTGGGCTGGCTCTCCTTCAGGTGACCACCTGGGTGTGGGTTGCGTGGGTCCTGGCATCTCCACAATACCTTATGGGTTCTGGGTTTGGAGTTCGAGAAGGTACAGTATCCTAGGTCCTTGGCCGAAGGTTTTTTTTTCCCCATGTAGGAGTGTTGATGTTTCAACTTCAATCCCTAAATTCACCAACACGCAGATTACGGAGCATTACTCCACCTGTATCAAGCTCTCCACTGAAAATGTGAGTAGCACCTGGTGGATCAGCGCTCTGCCTTGATCACAGGAAAAATGTAACTCTCTGGTTCTGTAGAAAATGTTTTCGATGTTAGCTTTAAAAAAAAAAAAAAAGATTTATTTATTTTCATTGCAAAATTAGGTATATGCAGAAAGGAGGAGAGACAGAGAGGAAGATCCTCCATCTGATGATTCACCCCCTCTAAGTGACCGCAACGGCCAGAGCTGCACCCATCTGAAGCCAGGAGCCAGGAGCTCTTCTGGGTCTCTCAAGGTTCTGGGTCATCCTTGACTGCCCTCCCAGGCCACAGGCAGGGAGCTGAATGGGAAGCAGGGCCGCTGGGACCAGAACCGGTTCCCATATGAGATCCCAGCGTGCACAAGGCAAGGACTTCAGCCTCTAGGCCACTGCACCAGATCCATTAGTTTTTTTGTTGTTGTTGTTGTTTAAGATTTATTTATTTTTATTGGAAAGTCAGATGTACAGAGAGGAAGAGAGACAGAGGAAGATCTTCCGAATGATGAATCACTCCCCAAGCGGCCAAAGCAGCTGGAGCTGAGTAAATCTGAAGCCAGGAGCCAGAAGCTCTTCCGGGTCTCCCACACAGGTTCAGGGTCCCAAGGCTTTGGGCTGTCCTCAATTGTTTTCCCAGGCCACAAGCAGGGAGCTGAATGGGAAGCAGGGCTGCCAGGATTAGAACTGGTGCCCATATGGGATACTGGCACGTTCAAGGTGAGGACTTTAGCCATTACGCTATCACACTGGGCCCTTTTCTCTTTTTTGATTGATTTATTTTTATTTGAAAGGTAAAGTTAGCAGGACAGACAGAGATATCTTTCATCTGCTGGCTTACTCCCCAAATGGCTGCAATGGCTGAAAATCTGAAAGCCAGGAGCCAGGAGCTTATTCCAGGTCTCCCACATGAATGCAGGGGCCCAAGCATTTGGGCCATCCTCTGCTGCTTTCCCAGGCCCCTTAGCAGGGAGCTGGATTTGGAGTGGAGCAGCCCGGACTCCAAACTGGTGCCCAGATGGGATGTTGGTGCCACAGATGGGAGCTTAAACTGCTACACTATGGCACCAGGCCTGAAGGCTCCTTTCTTTTCCAGTTTCTCTCCTTGGTGCTGGTGTGTCCAGCCTGGCCTCCCTGAGTGCTCTGGGTTTCTGGAGCACTTCCTCACAGGTGGCTGCTTCTGGCAGTGTCTCTGGAGAGGCAGCATGGCTCAGGTCCCAGAGTGAGATAGTAGATGGTAGGGTTCTGGTGCTAGTCTCAGCGGGCATTGTCTGCACCTAAAAGCTGTGCCTTATGGCGTCCCTCTACTGTTCTGCTGTAGAGTCCTGCAGCGTCAGTTGGGACTGAGGAGGTGCCGTGTGCCTTGTAGAGTTGCTCTGAACATAGCTGCATCCCTGCGTGTATGATGCATAGAGCAAGTGCTGCGTGTAGCAAGTGCTTAGGGATCATGTTCTCCTGTCTGGAACTTGAGAAGGAGGAGGTAGATGTACACATTTGGCTCTGTTTCCAAGAATTAAGATCGATGGGGAAGCATTGGTTTTCCTAAGAAAATCTCAGCTTCCTCTATTCTGGGTAGCATCATTTACACATGCCTCAGCTGCAAATGACAAACGTGTGTGCAATCTTCTGCTTTCAGAAAATCACCACCAAGAATGCTTTCGGCTTGCACCTGATTGATTTTATGTCCGAGATCCTTAAACAGAAAGACACCGAGCCAACCAACTTTAAAGTAAGAAGTGTGTCTACTTCCTCTTGCATCCGAGTTCCCAATCCTTAGTGTAGCACAGTTGTATTCTGCAGATACCTGCAAGCTTCCCTCATCTGGACAGTACAGTTGCTACTTTACTTTCTTTTCTATACTTAGACTACTTGGCCATTCTGACTCGCTGAAGAAATGTGGCAAAGATGCATACTGTCTTTATTCCTATAAATTTGTTTTATTTTCTATATATTTTCCCCCACTGGGAGGGTATCAGTGTATTGGTAATACACGAGAGGGTCGTGCCAAAGAGCACCAGCCCACGGGCTGTGTGTGTAACACAGTATGAAAATCAGTTGGTAAAGCAGGACATTCAGGTCAACATTACAGAATATATTCCCTCCCAATTTTAGGGAATAAAGTCTTTTTCTTGGAGCACATAAATATTCATGAAGCTTCCTATGTTTTGTCTGTTCAGAAGGTTTTTCCCTCTGCTTTGCCTGTTTAACTAGGTGGCTGCTGGCACCTTGGATGCCAGCACCAAGATCTATGCTGTGCGCGTAGATGCTGTCCATGCCGATGTGTACAGAGTCCTGGGAGGGCTGGGCAAAGACACGCCATCTCCCGAAGAAGGAGAGGACCAAGCTGCAGGTACTTGGGTTGGCATCTGGAGCAAAGGGGCTGTTTGGGGGCCTGCCAAGTAGTTCTGTACTACCTGGTGAACTAGAGTGACGTGCTAGAGTGAAGTCACAAGAAACCAAGGATCTCATTTTATTAAAGACATGGGCATTTCATTTCATGGGTGACCTTACATGAGAAGGTAATCAAACCCTAGAACCGTTTTCCTTTGAAAAAAGAGAAGGGTCTTGTACCACTTCTTCGGTTTTATTTAGCAAAAACTGAGTAAGAGGAGCTTACTGATTTGGGGGAGAGGGAGAGCTTTGGCAATGGGCTTCCATCAGAGCCAGCTGCTCACTGTAGTCCTGCTCTCCATCAACTGCAGGTGAGATATTCCTGTTGGAGAGGATCATAGTGTTCACGTTTGTGGGCTCCTGCCCAGGGTTTTGAAGAGGGTTGCACATGCTTCCAAGCTGTCTTTGCAGCACGCTGTCTTATCCATTTTTAGACAGAAGTGCTACTGAAACAGGAACAACCAAAAAGGCTCCAAAGCCAAAGAAAAAGCATTCGTACAAAACCATCGAACAAAACATAAGCAACCTCAACGTGTCTGAAGCAGATCGGAAATGTGAGGTGAGGAGCTGTGCACAGGGCGGGCTCCGGCTGATTCACGCCTTGGGTGCAGAAGCTCGGCGGGACCAGGGCTGCGTGGCGCTTGTTTACGCCTTAGAAAGTGGAATTACTTCACTGATGTTTCTTCATTTTCACTCTGCTTGGTAGTCCCTCAATATTTCAGAGAAGTTGCAGATTACCAAGAAATCTGCCTGAAAAGTTTGATTTTTCTTTCTTTCTTAGTGTCTGCAGCAGGATGAGGAGAGCTAACTTGACTGACCATACACTGGGGGCTGTATCCTTCTGCAAGCCTCCCACCCATGTTAACTGCTTTACTCCTCACAACCTTGCTTCACTTTTATTAAGTTGATAACCGAGGCCTAGAGCTATCAAGGTGATGCTCCCAGTGGGTGAGCTAGGATTGGGAACTAAGTGGCCTCTAAACAACCTTGCCGTCTAACCGATTCTGAGGCATCTGCTTACAGAAATGGTGCTGGAGCCCACATTTGTAATTAACATGGTTAATTTAAGCCAAACAGGTGTTGTGGCAAGTTTTTAAGAATGTTGCTGTCAACGGTACATGCAAGATCCATTGCTGAAAAAAAAAAAAAGAATTTTGCTATTAAAAGCATTTCACTGAATGTCCTGGTACCTATTGTCTCCGCATGCTTCTTGGAGTATATAAGGAAATTCTGAGATGTGCAGTTGCTGTCAAAAGAGGTCCTAGGTATTCACTTTATGCAGCCATAAACTAGATCACTTCTTTTCTGCAGTCTTCAGGTTCCCTCAGTGAGTGCTCACGTCAGAGTGGAGTGGGTCACCAGAGAAATGAGAGTGTGGAAAAGGGACAGAGTTCTGGTCACCTGGTCTCAGGAGGTCAGAACTGCAGAAGCAGCCAGTAGGAAGGGGGGAACCCAGGAGCATGCAGTGGCCAGACGAGAAAGAATCTCAGGCAAGTGGAAGCTGAGGCCACTGCTCGGAGGGATTCCTTCCTGAGCTGACACTTCAGCCTCCAAGGATGGGGTGCTGCTTGGCTGGTGCTCGTGGCTGAGGGACACACGTTGATGCCGCTTCGGGGAATTGCTGGAAAGTGGCAGTTTATGCAACTGCAATTCCGCATGGGCTTTGATCCTTGGGGTGAAGAGGCACTGCTGGGGCTACTCAACACAACTAGTAAACCTGAAGGAGGAGCAAGTATGGCTCCTTCCTGGAGCGCTGCACGCTCCCTCCAGTTCCCCCTGTCGGCAGAGTCTAGGAGGGAGCAATGGGCACAGCCCAGAGGTCCCCAATCCAGCACCACTCAGCAGGGGAGAGACAATGGATTTAGAGCTGAGAGAAAGAGCTCAATAACTGATGCCCAAGGAAAGTGCCATGAGCTGTGTCTGTCCTTCTGTCTGTCTCTAGAGAGCAGGTACAAAACGTCAGCAGTGATGAATTTAGGTGGAAGTCACACAAAAATGAGTGCCACTATTCTTCAAGCGTTCTTATAGACTTGAAATTTGTCAGTGGGAGGGAGCAGCTGGGAGGAGAGGAATGAGGATGCTGGATGTGAGTGGTTGTAAGTAAGGTCAAGGTTTTTGTTTTTATTTACAGTTCTGTTTTCCTTTTATTTAAAAGGCACAGAAACAGAAAGATAAGGAAGATTGCTTATTCACTGCCTAAATGCCTGCCATAGCAAGGGCTCAGCCAGGGTGGCGCCAGGCCAGCAGAAGTGCAACTAAGTATGTTGTAAAGAGGACATGGTGTGTGCTCGTCACCATGCACTGTCCTGTTGAACAGCGTGCCTGTAATCCTCTGACCACACACAGCCTTTCTTTTCTATTTTGTGCTTGGTCAGTCAGAAGGTTCCTCCTCCTGGTCATGTGCAGAGATGACGTATTCCAGCGAGCGCATGCTTCAGTGTGAGAGACCAGGCTTCAGCACGCAAGGCCCTCCCTCCCTTAGCACGAGCTGTCATTCTTGGGCTGCCTGTCTGTTTTGTGTTCAGGTGGATCCCATGTTTCAGAAGACGGCGGCCTCGTTTGACGAGTGTAGCACAGCAGGGGTGTTCCTCTCCACCCTCCACTGCCATGACTATAGAAGTGAGCTGCTTTTCCCCTCGGATGCCCACACCCTCTCCACAGGAGAACCTCTCGACTTCCCGGATTTAGGTTGGGTGGAAATGACGGATTTAAAAGGTAAGTTCAGATAATGGCCTTCACCAGATCATTTCTGTCATCCACAAAGTTTCTGTGTCAGCGTCAGATATGATAAATCCTTTGCTCTTCCATTGCTTCAAGGGCCCAGAAGCCCCTCTGCAGTGCCGGCTGAGTGTCTGCTTTGGCTGTGTCTAGCCACCTGCTGTTTTCCTCTCTGCAGCATTGCCTCCTGGTTTTGTGTGCCATGAGCCTTAGATACCCACAGTTTTCTTTCACCCGGCTCTCGCAGCCAGGGAGCTCTGGATTCACCCTGGATTGTCAGAGCTTGGACTAGAGAAGAGGTCTTTTAAGAAACCTCTGGCTAGAGAGGGTTGGTTTTCATTTCTTTCCAGTCCAGGGTCCTGAGAGGAAATGGGTGCTATGAGTTGCTTGTGGCCTATTCTGTGGGCCACCGTGTTCTCAGCTCCCTGACACTGGCCTGCCAGAAATTCCACATCCTTCCCTCCCTCCCTGCCGGGCTCTGCACTCGGGATGTGCTGGCAGGGGCAGGCAGCTGTGAAGACCATACCCAACTCAGGGGACAGCTGTACTTGGTGTGCATCATATGTGCCTGTTGAATGGGTTGATGCTCCCCTCCTAGGACTGTGCAGCTGTTACAGCAGCCATCCTCATCCTTTGTTCTTGTCTGCAGTGTGCTTAAGCTGACTGTTGCGTTAACATCTGTTTTCCCAATGTACACTCAACCAGAACAAGAGTTCTCTGATCGTCTCAGATAGTTGCTCTATAGCTAGTTTAGTTCAGGATTAAAAATAAGTACCATTATGTGATTGTTTATGTACTTAGTGTACTTTTTATTTTTTAAGATTTATTTATTTTTGAAAGGCAGATACTTTTTTTAAAAAAAAATATTTGTTCATTTTTTATTGGGAAGTCAGATTTGCAAAGAGAAGGAGAAACAGAGAAAAAGATCTTCCATCCTCTGGTTTACTCCCCCAAGTGGCTGCAACACCTGGAGCTGAGCCTAGCTGAAGCCAGGAGCTTCTTCTGGATCTCCTACATGTGTGCAGGGTCCCAAGGCTTTGAGCCATCCTCTACTGCTTTCCTAGGTTGCAAGCAGGGAGCTAGAAGGGAAGTGGAGTAGCTGGGATGTGAGCTGGTGCCCATATGGGATCCCGGTGCGAGCAAGGCAGGGACTTTAGCCACAAAGTCACCATACCTGACCCCATTCTTTTATTTTTTTATGGTTTATTTATTAAGTTTTTTGGGTAAGTCAGAGAGAAGGAGAGACAAAGATCTTCCGTTTGCTGGTTTATTCCCCAAGCAGCTGTGATGGCCAGAACTGAGCCCATCTGAAGCCAGGAGCCACAAGGTTCCTCCAGATCTCCCACCCTTGGGTGCAGGACCCCAAGATTTTGGGCTATCATATACTGCGTTCCCAGGCCACAAGCAAGGAGCTGGATGGGTAGTGGGGCAGTTGGACACAATTGGGCACCCATATGGCATCCCAATGCATGCAAAGCAAGAATTTTAGCTACTAGGCTATCATGCCAGGCCCCGAAAGGCAGAAGTTAGTGAGGAGATGTAGAGAGGTCTTCCTTGTGCTGGTTCAAACCTCAAATGGTTGTCATTTCAGCTTCTGAGCCAGGAGCTTCTTCCAGGTCTCCCACATGGGTTCAGGGTCCCAGGCTGCTCTTCCAGGTCATAAGCAGGGAGCTGCATGGGAAGTGGAAAAACTGGAACATGAATACAGCACCCATATAGGATATCAGCACCTCAGGCAGAGAATTACACTAAGAGGGGCCATCTCACTGTACTTTAAAAAGAGGAGTCATTTTTGTTTTCTCTTTTTAAGACTTATTTATTATTTTTTTTAAACTGGAAAGTCAGATATATAAAGAGGAGGAGAGACAGAGAGGAAGATCTTCCATCTGATGATTTACTCCCCAAGTGACCACCATGGCTGGAACTGTTCCTGTCCAAAGGCAGGAGCCAGGAGCCTCTTCTGGTCTCCCACGCGGTTGCAGATTCCCAAGGCTTTGGGCCGCAAACAGGAAGCTGGATGGGAGGTGGGGCTGTTGGGACACAAACTGGCACCCACATGGGATCCAGGCGCATGCAAGGTAGGGACTTTGGGCACTAGGCTACTGCTCTAGACCCTGTTTGTTTTTTAAGAACTTAATTATTTGAAAGGTAAATACGGATATCTTTCATTCACTGATTCATTCTTCAGATTCCCACAATAGCCAGGATTGGGCCAGGCCAGCGCCTTGAGCCCAGAACTCTATTTGGGCTGACCACGTGAATGGCAGGGATTCAGATTATTTAGCCAGCACCTACTGCCTTTCAGGTACATTACTGGAAACTTAATCAGAAATGGAGTAACCAGGATTTGAACCAGGCACTCCAGTATGCAATACAGTGTCCCAAACGGCCTCTGAACTTGCTCTACCACATTTACTTGAGAGGCACAGACAGTGACAGATGCAGAGATCTTCCATGTGCTGGTTCATTGCCAAGATGCCCATAAAAGGCTGCTTGGGCCAGGCCAAAGCCAAAAGCTGCTAGCAGTCTAAGGCTCCCATATGAATTGCAGGAACCCCGGGGACTTAAGCTTCAGCTGTCACCTGTGGCTTCCTCTGGAGCCTATTAGCTGGAGGCCAAAGTCAGTACTTGGACCCAAGCTTTCCTACTTAGGATACCTTCTTAACAGGAAATGTTTTTCTATTTCTCAGCTATAGCATAGGGCACAGCATTCATTTCAGACCAAATGTACGTGTTTCAGATTTCACTGCTAGTATTTCATGAGTTTGTGAAATGACAACCTGTATTCTGACTGCAGCGTGGGTGTGCACATGTGCACCTGCTCGCTCAGCTGCCGGCCATGTTGACCTTGAGTCCCTGGGGAGAGCAGCGAGGTGACTGTGCCTCGGCTCTGTGGGGGCTCCTCAGCATGCCAGGGAAAGGCCCGAGGAACACACTTGGGCCAGACTCATGTGTGTTCTTGTGTCCTCTCCAGCACCCTTGCTGCAGTGTGTGGAAGATCGCCAGATCTGCCCATCCCTGGCCGGCTTCCAGTTCACCAAGTGGGACAGTGAAAGCCATAATGAGGTGTGGTCAGCTTTTGGACTTATAAGGGCTCTGGGCGTTTTTCCTCTGCTTCATGGTTTCAGTTGGGTCGCCCAAGATTATTTTTGCCCAGTGGGAACCAAAACTGTGGCGTCGTTTAACCAGGAGAACAAACAATATTTCCCTTGGCACGTATGCGGAGTGGGGTGGGGGGACAGTGTGTTGTGGAGGGGCAGAACCCTCACGCCTGCGAGTGAACTCTGATCAGCCCCATGTACCCCTTCTACTTCCCCGGAGGAGGTGGGCCTGCCGTCTGTGCAATGCTGCTTTTACTATGAAGTGTGCCTATCCCAGTGGCCTCTGGGGTTTTGGCTGCTGTCAAGCTCAAGGAATTTCCTGCTGTTTGGGGTTAAGTCCCTTGGCACACAGTTTCCTGAGAACCCATCCCGCGGAAAGCTTTTTTCTTTGTGTATTTTTAGCACGGCCCCCTTTAGCCTACTGATTACAAATTCCAAAATAAATGGTCTCCATGGCAAAATGCTTTCTCTAAACATGTGGTTAATGGATGCAGATTTCTGTTTCGAGTTTCACACAGTGTGCCTGACAACAATGCAGCTTCATCCTGTACCACACAATATAAACTTCCTCAGCCACGCTGTTCTGTCCTGAGAACGCCAGCTCTGGGAGGCAGGATGGGGTGGGGGGCAGGAGAAGGCTGGAAACTGGAATTTGAAGGTGAGCTCAGGTGGCCACCATAGAAGTGAGGCGGGGAACAAACTTTTTTGTGTGTGTGTGTCCTCCTGCAGTCCTTGTCAGCCCTGGTAGACAAGTTTAAGAAGAATGATCAGGTGTTTGACATCAACGCTGAGGTTGAGGACAGTGACTGCGGGGACTTCCCTGACGGGCCCCTGGAGCACGACTTTGATGCCAATGATGAGCTTAACTGCACTGCAGCTGGGGACCAGGAAGAGTTCAAGAGCTGGAAGGAGCCCTGCCAAGTCCAAAGCTGCCAGTAAGACTCCCAGCACCCAGAAAAATTTCCCGTGTCTGTGTCTGTCTCTCTTTCTCTTGCTCTTTCTGTTAGAATGACTTATTTATTTATTTATTGGAAGGGCAGAGTGACAGGGGAAGAGGAAGAAAAATCTCCCATCCACTTGTTGATTCCCCAAATACCTGCAACAGGCAGGAGCCTCTTCTGGGTTTCCTGCATGGGTGCAGGGGCCCAAGGGCCATCCTCCACTGCTGTCCCAGGTGCATTAGCAGGGAGCTAGATTGGAAGAGGAGCAGCCAGGACTCAAACGTGTCTGCTCACAGGGATCCCTGTACTGCAGGTACCTTACTGCTGCTTCACGGAAGTACCTTTCCTGAGGGACCCCACTGTTTGAGCCCTTACTGTTGCCTCCCGGTCCTACATTGGCAGGAAGCTAGAATTGGGAGCAAAGCTGGGATGCAAACCCAAACATCTGCCACTCGGAACTTTATTTATCTATTTTTATAATGACTTGAAAGTAAAAGTCAGTAGCAAAGGGAAAACTAAAATATTCACAAATACTAGGAAACCGATGTGTGAAATATTAACCAAAAGGGAAAAATTTAATATAAGACAATATGCAAAGTTAAAACAATGCACAATATGCAACCAAGTCAGGTTTCTAACATTTCTTAATTATTTTTATAGCAGAATCATTCATTTTTAAGTGTCCATTAGCAGTATTTTGCAGTCCTGCCACATTAGGGTCGCAGACCTGGTGGGCCTCTGGTAACAATGGAGAAGGTCAAGCGAGGGAAGGAGGGGTGAGAGAAGTATGCCTTCTTGTGTGGAACTTAATGTCAACTTTGTGTGTATAGCTCAATCCAAATAGAAAGCTGTTCTCTGAAGTTTCCTGCCCTTTGACGACCTATAGAGGGCAGCACAACAGCACTAACTGGCTCTCAAACAGCGTGGAACCTTTCAGGAGAAAGTCACCTCCCCATTTCCTATCACCTTGTAGAAAGACTGAAAGACCAAACCAAAACTGCCGTGCTGGTCTGGCAGCTTAGACACTTCAACAGAGCAAAGAATAAAACTGAGTGACTTAACATTTTTTCTATAGAGTTCTCAAAGCTTTTGAGTGGCTAAAGTTTAAGTTGGGTTAATGTCTTACTTTCAGTAACAACTTTGGCACTATCTGTGGGAGCCTTTATTTATGGAAGGGTGATAAAGAAAGCAGGGGAGCTGGTGTTGTGGCATAGTGGGGAAGGCTGCTGTGTGCAACACTGGCATTCCATATGGACACCCAAGCAAGTCCCAGCTGCTCCACTTTCAGTCAGGATTCCTGTTAACGTGCCTGGGCAAAGCAGCAGAAGATGGCCCAAGTGCTTGGGCCCTGCTTCCATGTGGGAGACCAGGAAGAAGCTCATGGCTTCTAGCTTCAGTCTGGTCTAGCCCCATCTATTATGGCAGATTTGGGTGTAAACCAATGGGTGGATGATCTCTCTCTCTCTTCTGTGTGTGTGTGTGTGTGTGTGTGTGTGTGTGTGTGTGTGTGTGTGTATGTGTAAAGCTCTTCTTTTTAAATAAATAAATGAATCTTAGAAGAATAAGGAGGGATTGTCTGGTACAAGAAGCCTTGTGCATTGAAATGCTCGGATTCAGGGCACACTGTCCAGTTCTCAGCTCTGGCATCTGTCTAGATGTATAATCTGTTAAGATTAAGTATTTATGCCCATTGTCTCGTCTCTCAAAGGAGAAGACTGGCATTTTTAAAAGTACACTGAAATATCCAAAATACTTGTATAAATGATTATATTGTTGAAAAATCAAGAGACTGGAAACATTTGAAAAGTAAAAACTACAGGATTGTCAGCGGTGAAGTATTGATTTTGAACTTTTAGAAATGCTGCTCACTGTGGAAATAGTCTCCATTGGTGGCATATACTTCTTGAGATTTAAATACATGATTGTATTGTACATATGCAAACATGATTTCATGTGTGTTACAGGGAAGAAGTGATTTCCATTGGAGATGGAGACATTAGGACCATGTGCCCCCTTCTGTCCATGAAACCTGGAGAATATTCCTATTTCAGTCCCCGGACCATGAAAATGTGGGCTGGCCCAGATCACTGGCGCTTTAGGCCTCGACACAAACGTACGTACTGCTACAAGGAAGTTTTAAGAAAAGAGGCTGTGCAGATAGCCAACCAGTCAGTTAGCTTCAACACCTGTGATAAGCTAATAATTCATTCGAGAAAACTTCAAAAAGTTTATGGAAGAATAGTGTTAACAAGTTTATACCGGTACAAAATTTGAACCCTATAATTTAAGTGTGTATCTTCATGAGCCTTTTAAAGTATCCTCGAGCAGGTGAGCCACCTCCTGTTCAGACAATCACTTAACGTAGAGTAGGAAGAGTTGGGGAGACTGGGTTCAGGACCTTGCACTTTTCCCTAGGACCCCTGTGAATTTGGACACTGGTTCTGGGTGGTAATGACCACCAGGCTCCGGCAGGCACACGTCCTCTCAGTCACTGCACGGACAGCCCCGTGCAGCACTCGGAAGGGTTTGCATTCTCTCTCAGAAGGGAAGTTATTAGCATGCATTTTTAATGTGTTTTGTTAACCAAAACACACATTCCAATTTTTTTTTTTTTAAGATTTGTTTTATTCTTTATTGGAAAAGAGAAGGAGAGATAGGAAGATCTTCCATCTTTTGGTTGACTCCCCAAATGGCCGCAATGGCCAGAGCTGAGCCAATCGGAAGCCAGGAGCCAGGACCTCTCTCTGGGTCTCCCGCGCAAGTGCAGGGTCCCAAGGCTTTGGGCCATCCTTGACTGCTTTCCCAGGTTATAAGCAGGGAGCTGGATGGGAAGTGGAGCAGCTGGGATATGAACCAGCGCCCATTGGAATTCCAGCAGTTGCAAGATTAGGATTTAGCCACTAGGTTATCGCGCCAGGCCCCACATTACATATTTAAGACAGAAAAGGAAGTGCGTTATTTAACATTCTGACAGCTGTGGCGATGCTGTTGTGCGATGGGTGAGGTTGTTGGTAGGTCCCTGAGGCCACCAAGCAAGCAGTGCTGACACCCATGTTCTCCTATGCAGAAGATGTCGTCTCTGTGTCCGAGAACAGAAAGAAAAGTACAAAGAAAGACTTTGAAATTGACTTTGAAGATGACATTAATTTTGATGCATATTTTCGGAATACAAAGGTTTGTACTCTGAGCATTTATGCTTGTTAAGATTAGATTTAACCCCCCCCCTTTCAGATGTGATTTGCGAAAAACATTTTTTAAATTTAACTTTAGAGTAAATGCGTTTTATTTTATTTTTTTTTTTTTTGTAATTGTCTTTTTTTTTTTAAATTTTATATCATTTTATGACACAGTTTCATAGGCTCTGGGATTCCCCCAGCCCCTCCCCAAGTCCTCCCCCCATATTGAATTCCTCCATATTGTTACAGTAGTACAGTTAATAGCCAGTCATGATTCTTTCATTCTGGGTATGGATCGTGCGGAGAATCCAGCATCTTATTGTCCAGATAAGTTCAACAGTTTCATTGGGAGACCATCCTTGGTCTGAAAGTAGAGCTGGTAGAATATCACCTCCTCCAGTGAGATGTTACTGCACATTTTCAATAGGAAAAAACATCGAAATTAACCACATCATGAAGCCAATCAACGTGGTATTTATTGAGTGACCAACATGTTAGAAAATGCAAGTTCTTAACCACATCCTGTAACTACTTCCTTGACATCTCAATTTTAGTATATACACAACCAGCTGCTGTAAACCCCCTTTTTTTTTTCTTCCAAGCTAACATGTTTTTGAGTTTAACCTAAATCAGAGTGGCACAGGAACAGTGGAAGCATCAACATTAACATCCATCATACATATAACAGCTAAGTACAAACTTAGCATCAAAGTTTCTATTTTACTTTGTCCTCTAAAGAGACTACTGAGAAACAGTCCGAAACTTGGTAGCAGAAAGAATCAAGTTTAGAATAAGGAGAACAGAGCTTACAAAATCACGTTTTCTCATAGACAGACCCATGGCAATTCTGAGGGTAGAATGAATGCTGCCCAAACCCTTCCCAAGGTGCTTTCTAGAAGAACAAATGCATTGTCCATTATTAGAGAAGTCTAAACAGTACTTCTTTTTAAAGGCCGCTACTGTTCTGGCCAAGTCCACTTTGAAGAACCAGAACTGCAAAGCTACCACTCTGCCTATGGATTTCCATTATGAGGTCGATACTCTGGTCCAGCTTCATCTGAAACCAGGCACCAGGGTAAGGCTGACCGTCAGTTCCTTTACCAAGCATGTATGACATCAAGTGACTGGTACGTGACGCTCAGGCAGCAGGGAGAGTTGAGAGTGCGAGGAAGAATGTATGTGAGACTTGGGGAGTTGCCAGAGATGCGGTATATGAGGCCAAGCTGAAGGAAAAGTTATAGGACAGATGCTCACAAAAGACTTGGAACCCTCTTGCCTGACTGTGGGTGGGACACTGAAACCTCCATGCTGGAATGCCACGGAGGTAAGCATGCCCTATTGGTGGAGTGCTCACTGCCAGTATAGAAACACTCACCAGTTGCTTTGTGCAGTTCACATCGCCTCACTCATGATCCAGATAGAAAAGTGAGGCCAGAAATGGGGCTATTGTGGTGGAGTGCGTTAACATGCATCCTGAAATGGCAGCAGCAGTTGGAATCCCAGCTGCTCTGCTTCCTATCCAACTCTACACAAGTGCACTTGGGAAGGTAGAGGAAGATGACCCGAGGGCTTGGGCACCTGCCACCCAGATGGGAGATCTGGATGGAGCTCCAGGCTCTTGGCCCCAGCTGTTGTGTATCCATCTGGGGAGTGAAGCAGTGGACAGGAGATCACTCTGTGTAACTCTGCCTTTCAGAAAATCGGTCTTTAAGCAAGAAAAACGAAGGCGTGGTGACATGTCTGATCACATCATTTGGGGAGTTCTTGAGTGCTGGGTGACTGGACAGGGCCCTTCTGACTGAATGGGATAATTAATTCTAGAAGGAAATAAATTTTAGCAACTAAAGTGTTTTTTCCTCAACGTGGTTCAGCAGCTGCTTTTTTAGAAATTGCTTTCTACATATGTTCTTTTCTGTCTTCTAGTTACTGAAGATGGCCCGGGGCCAGGAGCCAAAGAGTGAGCATTATGAAGAACTTGAAGATTATGATTACAACAACCCAAATGACATCTCCAACTTCTGTCCTGGGTTACAGGTAAAGTGCAGGGGCACTGCTGCCTCCCTGCTTCCATCCAGCAGAAGCTGGGGGACATTCTGCATCAGGTGGGAGTTTTGTGGGTACAGGGTTGGTCCTCAGAGTGGGAAGCTGAGCAGAGCTGAGTTACCAGTGTCTGCCCTGGCCTGCCTTACCACAAGCCCTGTAAGCAGGAAGCAGATGGACACGCTGCAGTAAACAGGTCCCAGATGGGATCAGACAAAGCACTGACCTTGGCTCTTTGGGGATTTCAAAGGCATACAAACGCTGTTGGCGCGCTAAGGAGCTAGTGTTTTGGCTGGGTAGATAAGACATGGTGCCTCGTCAAGGTGATGCCTTCTAGAGGGGCAAAGAAAAGCTTTGGGGTGTGTCGCAGGAGAACAGGCATGTAGCTCTCACCTGGTTTCTCTCCTGCTTGAACACGTGCAAGCCTCTCACTGTTAGATCTTGGTCTGAACTGTCATTTCCATTTCCCTTCTGAGACCACTAGTGAGATAACAAAAGAAATAGGAAGTGGGATAATGTTAAACCTGGTCTGGATCCCTGTACACGGGGAAGAGGGAAAACAGCCTCAAGAATTGATGCACTGTGTGTCCTTGGCTGAAGGAGAGGTGGGCTGGTATGTTTCGGTGAAAATTCAGACTAGCTGCTTGGCTGTTGCCCCTGAAGCTTGATTGTGCACAAGAATCACCAGAGAGCTTATTGAAAAATAGATTCCTGTCCACACCCACACCTGATTGCCCCAAGCTTCCAACCCATCTACCATGGGTCTGAGCCCAAGAGGTTTTCTGACCTGCTCCCAGCTAGTGAGCGCCCTTGCTGCTGAGCGTGCAGCCCTGGGATGAGGAATGCAGATCATTCTCCCCGTGTCCTGGGAATGCTCTCGTAACCCCTCAGCTGGTTAGTAATCAGCACGGACGCTGTGGCAGTGATGCCCATTGAATTCCTTGGAACTCTCACTCCGGAGGTTTCGGATAACAGGTCCCTCCCAACTGGCGCTTATATGAAATAGAACAACTGGAAGCTCGAAATCGACCCTGGCAAGACCCTCTTAATGAACGGAGGGTGGTCCACACGGGGTGCGTTTCAAGGATGTTTCTAAGCCCTTCTGGAAGCTTGTTCCAAATTTGAAGAGCTGTACCTTTGCCCAGGCTGGTGACAGCGATTACGAAGAGTCAGACGACTTGTTTGTGGGGCCAACGGGGTCTCCTACAGCACAAGAGAATGGCGACACTCCTGAAGGCCCTCAACTGGACATCACAACGTATGGGGACGCCAACCTGCTGGCCGAGCCCCAGAAGGTGAGGATGAAGCAGCTGAGGATTACACTGACTGCATGCAATAGATTAAACATAGATTATATTACTGTGAGTTTGATATTTGTTTTCTCCCTCCTTGGTTGTAACCTGTTGCTGTGCTGCAGGCTGAGTCTTGAATAGGGCAGTGGGAGTGAGCTGTTGCTGCTTAGGTTTGTGCGGAATGCACTGCCTCCCCCTTTAACTAGAGGTGAGCTGGTCACCCAGATGCAGCGTGTAGACAGAGGCTGCTGCAGGGACAGCAGATGTGTGTGCTAGCTCAGCGAGACTAGTGCAAGCTCTTGGGCAGATCCAGGTCATGGTCAATTATCACATATCAGATATCTGTGCATTCCATGCCTGTTGCAGGCTTGGTGCTTTGGTTAATATGTGATCCACTTATCTCTTTTACACTGGAATTCCAATTAGTGTAGATTATAATTAGATTTGACACAAGGGACTCTAGCTATCTAAAGCAAGCTCTTGTAACTCTTTAGTTGATTAGCTTATTTGAACTCCAGGTCTGATTTTATATAAACTGATGATAGATTTTTTTTTTTCTTCTGCTTAATTTTGTTTTGTCATATACTTATTTCAGGTAAATAAAATTGAAATTCATTATGCCAAGACTGCCAAAAAGATGGACATGAAGAAACTGAAGCAGAGCATGTGGAGTTTGCTGACCGAGTTTTCGAGAACAGAAGCCAGTGCCGAGGTAGCAGTGCACGCATCCTTGCTTGGTTCCTGGCGTGTGGTGGGGAGGGCAGATGTCTGCGGCTACAAGAGGGCTGCACGTGGTCCGGGGCTGCAGCACGGAGCGAGGCATGCGGAATACAGGGAAGGCCCCGGGACTCTCGGGAACGCGAGCTCGCAGCCTCATGCATGGGGCGTCACCCAGCCTGGCCCGTAAGCGGAAAACACAAATGAAAGCATCTTTATGATGTTTACATCAGCAGCAGTGTGCCAGCCAGACAGTGTTATCCAGTCCTGAGTTGAGGAAAACGTAGAGTACTTACTCACTGCTGCTGGCAGTTCTAAGTTGATAGTTGGAATTTTGTGCATCTCAAATGCCATAAAATATTTAAATCTTTTGATCCAATAATTCTGATTCAGGGAATATATTTTCAGTAAGGAAGTCATGAAAAAATAATGCTGACAGGTTTTTCTCCTTCAAAACAAGGGAAACCTTTATTAACGCAGTCGCGGCCACTGAACACGTCCGTTGACTGAAGCCAGCCCCTTTCTGCGGAGGGAATGTTCTGAACCACATGCATTGAGCTCACTCACTAAAATGCTCCGCTGGCTAAGGAGTGAAAGTCCACAGCTTGCTTGAGGGCCCAGACTATAGTAGTGGATATATCAGCAAACCGCCGTTGTTTGCATCAGTCCTTGCCAGTTAAAACAGAATGGGGTGCAAGTGTAAGAGAAATGTGCTTTTCACTTTCATTATGAATTTTTCGAGTTTTATTTTATGTATTTGAAAGGCAAGTTACAGAGAGAAAAGAGAGACAGAGATCCAGATGGCAGCAATGGCTGAGGCTGCTCCGGGCTGACGCTAGGAACCTGGAGCTTCTAACCCAGAGATTGTCGGTGTCCCAGGCCAGAGCTGAGCCACCTGTTCTCCTTAGAGATACTTTCCCTTCCAGAATAACTCAGAAGTTGTGTGGGTTTTTTTTTTTTTTTCATCCAGGGATATACTGGGGAATACAACTTTACAGGTTTCTGATACCCTTTCCAGAGTGAACTCCCCCTATGTGCCTGCTTCTTCCCTTAGGCCAACCACAGTGAACCTGCAAAGGAAAAGGTCCCAGAGGAGGTGGTTGGCGAGAAGATGCTCAGCAGGCTCACCCAGAACCTGCAGAAGAGGTGCGTGCCAGGCACAGGGCAGCACGGGGCTCCAGGCTGCTGCTCAGAGCCTCAGCCCGGCCGTGGGGGGACGGGCCCCCTGGGCGCTGCCTGCTGACTTCTGTCGGGGGAGCTTTTCTGCTTCCTCTGCATTGATGGATGAGCTCATAAAGCCCAGTCTGTAGAAATACTTTTCTCTGCCAATGGCAGGAATGGCAAAGGAGACCATTTATTCCCAAATACGACACTAGACAAACCTGCTCATAAAATGCATCTGAAATATTTCTTTGTTTCTCATGAGTCATTGTATGTGCATATTATTTAGACACGATGAAAGAGCCTTTGTTTTCAGAACTGCAGCTAAATACTCTCCCCTTTGTTTCCAGCCTGCCCCAACTCATGGCCCAGAACCTCTCCATTCCTCTGGCGTTTGCCTGTCTCCTGCATTTAGCCAACGAGAAGGTGGGTAATTCTGGTAAGCCCAGGAGTCTCTGACTAATCCCTGGATCAATTCATCTGAGGTGTGGTTGGTTTTTTTTTAGATTTTTTCAAAGACTACTGTGGGACATCATTATTATTATTTTGGAAATGCAGAATTACACATTGAGAAAGGGAGAGACAGAGATAAAGGGGAAGAGAGAGAGAGAGATCTTTCGTCTGCTATTCACTCCCCAAATGGCCAAGACTGTACCATGCCAGAGCCAGGAGCCTCCTCTGGGTATCCCCTGCCAAGCACTTGGACCGTCCTCTGCTGCTTTTCCAGGCACATTAACAAGGAGTTGGATGGGAAGTAGAGTTGCCAGGACTCAAACCAACAGCCATATATGATGCTGCAGCACAGGTGACAGCTTAACATGCTACACTACATTGCGGCCCTGGGTTGTCTTAACTTCAGTGACCTGTATCTATCATCAACCTAAATGATTAACCAGGCATCCGCATCCAGAAGGAACTTGACAGACGGCCACCAGGTTTGATTAGCAATGAAACTAGTGAAGAGGACTCAAAGGGAGCAATTCTGGACATTGAAGTTATCATCAGTCGGTTCCCTAACCTGAGAACATAACATGCCTCATGGGATCTCGACGCCTGCATGGCGAGGTCTGTAGCCACTAGGCTACTGCACCGGGCCCAACTGTTTTTTTTTTTAATTGGTTTATTTGAGGGCCTGATGTGATGGCTCAGTGGCTCAATCCTTACCTCGAGCACACCAGGATCACATATAGGCACTGGTTCATGTCCCAGTTGCTCTGCTTCCCATCCAGCTCCCTGCTGTGGCCTAGGAAAGCAATGGAGCATGGCCCAAAGCCTTGGAGACCCCACACTCATGTGGGAGACCTGGAGGAGGCTCCTGGCTCCGGACTTCAGATTGGTGCGACTCTGGCTGTTTCAGCTGGCTGTGGAGAGATGGCAGGTCCTGTTCAGAAGCCCGTGGGGCCAGGGAAGTGGGTGGGCAGCACCTTCCCTGGTTTTGGGAGACAGTGGTAGAAGTATCTCTGGGAATGCCTGAATCATCCTGAGGTATCTCTGGCCATTGGACTACAGGCAGAAAGAATGAGGAAGGAAAAAGTAAAGACTCACGGCCATCGTCACCCTGACTGGAAGCCACAGGGCGCTCTGATGAGGATTGTCTGAGGGGCAGGATGTGCTTGCAGGTCTTCTCTGACAGCAGCGGCATCCTTGCTCAGCCGCTGCAGGTGGGGGCAGCCTGGAGTCTCCTTCTCACACTCTCTCCTTGTCTGAGGTGGCCTGTCCCCCTGGGAGTGTTCCAGCATACACACAGAGCTCAGCAGCCCCAAAGCCCCCATTTACCCCAGTCCCAGGATGCAAGCACTGCCCTGGACTGTGCATGTCTTGGTGAGGAAGCTGCGCCAGGGTCCTATTGCCTTGTTCCTTCCTACTGAGTCTGTGGCCTCACCAAGGTCTACAGTGACAGCGTGCTGTGACCAGGTCTCCACCAGGGCCTAGCGCTTCTGGCATTTCCAAACTGGGCTAGTACCTATGGCTCGTGGCTTGTTAGGCTGGGGCCTGGCTTTGGGCAGCAGTTTGGGCTTGCAACATGGCCCTGACACTATGATAACCTACGTGGGTCTTGGATGACTCAGAAGTTAGAGTCCCCAGAAGAAACAGTCTCAAAACGCTTGATATCCAAGTGTAGCCTTTGTGGAACTTCTCTTAGGTCTGTGACTCTCCTCTGCACCCAGTTTACCCAGCCCTTGGGTAACAGTTTCGCCTCAGTCATGGTCTGCACTGCTGGGTGTGAGCCCTCTGCTCAGTGGCCCTGTGTCCCTGCAGAGTGTGACTGATTAACTAGATCCTGAGGGAACCGGCTGCCTGGCATTAGTAAGAATGCCTAAGCTAGGGGAAGAGTCGTGGCACAGGGAGCCTGAAGAATCAGAAGTGAGGGGCTGTCCCGGGCCTGACTGGGTTTCAGGGCTGGGGGCAGTGCCGAGAGCAGGATGTGTGGATGGAGTCATACTTGAGCCGGGTCCTGGTGGCCCCCCTGCCAGCTGCCTCGGTCCCGTCAGGGTGGAGAGCTCGGCTCTCCCACAGGGAGAGGGCTGCAGTGACCAGAGGCCGAGACATCTGGCTGCTTTTGCCTTATTCCCTGTGATTGGCACGGATGGGCAATAGTTGGCAACTGGCTTTGTCATGCTGATGTGATTTTCCTTATATAATTGTGGGACAGACCTCATTCTTTGCAGTCACTGCCTTTCTACCTAGATTAGAATTGTTTTATGGTTCTTTCACTTACTCTCAGGATGTGTATTTTGATTTTGCCTCAGAATCTCAAGCTGGAAGGAATGGAAGATCTGTCTGATGTCCTTGTGAGGCAAGGAGAGTGAGTTTCCAGGGAAGAAGGCGGCAGCGAGAGGCTCGTCATCACTTTTCCAGTGAAGAAGGACATCTTTACCATGAGAGGAGGAGGATGCCAGGGCTGGGAGCAGGGTCCTGGCCCCCACTGCGTGCCTGTCGGCCTGCTCTTCCCTCCACTGTGGTCTGGTGTTCTACACCATGTGAGGGCTTTGTTGTGGCTGTGAAACCTGTGCCCCTTCTCTCTATCCGTGTACAGTTGTTTTCTGTGTTGATGTGTCTTACTTTCCACTGTTGCGTAGAAATGATTTCCTAGTAGGCATTTAATGTAAATCTTAAATACCTACTTAATCCATGTGTATAAACTTCATCGTATAAACTCATAATGTGTATATAATAATTAAAAATAAAAATCATCCAGAAGAATATGTCTGACAATATTTGTAAGTCTGTTAAGTACTGATGTTCGATCCAGACCCAATCCTGATAGTGACTCAGGGTACACACAGGTCAGTGTGAGGCAGGAAATGCTGAGGGGCTGAAACGATCTGCCTGCCCAGAGAAATTGCTAGCTGGAGGCTGGTATTCCAAGCCAGGCTCCATGGCTAAATATCTGAATTCTTCTGGGGCTTGAAGTAGTAACGGTTGCGGCATGTATTTCGCGGTTACTCAGTCCTGTCTGTGGGTGACTTCCTCACCCCTCCCAGCACTCCCTGGGGAGTGTCCCATCCCCATTCCTATGTTACAGAGGAGGATGAAGGTACCCACAGGTAAAGTAACTTGCATGGCTGCTGACAGAGCTTGCCTTTGAACCCTGCCCTCTGCTCCCACAGTCTTTGTTTTTCGTAGCCACTGTGCAGTAGGCTGCTTGAATCCGCAGACAATGAAGACAGTGCCCGGTGAGATTCATCCATCTCCACAGAATTCAGCACGCCCCCCAAAAGGTACACTTTCTTTTTATAACCTTGGGAATTGGAGGAGCAAAGTCGGGCCAGTTTTGGACCTTGTGGCAAATACTGATCCAGGTCATTCTGCCCTTGGCAGGTCTTGAGTCTCTATAAGAGCACTTATCTCAGTTTACTATCTAAATGGAGATTTTGTGATAGGCCAGAAGCCTTGAGGACTGCTGATGCTAACTTCCAAGCCAGAACCACACCAGACAGAAGAAATCTCCCAAGAATGTGCTTTTCCAAATTGTGTCCAACTGCTACCCACTATGCCCTGTTGGAGGGTTAGGGCGGTGTGAACAGGCTTCAGTGTGAACAGTAGAGATGCCCTCGGGGGAGAATGCTATCCTGGTGGGGCTGAACCACTGCCTTTCTTTCTCCATGCTGGTTCTCTTTTCTATGGTTCCTGGGAGAACTAGCCAAGCCCATGCCTTCCCTTAGCTCATCACACTTCTCTAGTGGGAGACTGAGCTGCTAAAGTAAGAGCCAGTTTCTTTACTGAGTACCACTCCTCCTTGGCCTTCCTCTCCCAAGCTTCTCCCTCCTCCTGGCTCCTGGCTTTGGACCAGCCCAGCAGCAGCTAGTGCAGCCATTTGGGGAGTAAACCCTTCTCTGTAAGTCTGCTTTTCAAACAAAACAGATTTTAAAAAAGCAACAAAACTTACAAGGTCTGATGTCTGCAAAGGAATTATGGTTTGAGTGAAGTAGGAGGCAGATAGCTCTTTTCCCCAGCCTGACCACTCCTAGTGTGAGACCCCTGGCGAGTGAGGGTCTTGGAACTGCAGCAGTGGGAACTTATTCCCCTGCTTGGCAGCAGGTGGCTGAGCCACTGAGTCATGAACAGAAGTAGCCATGGTGTTTGCAATGAGCTGCTCAGCACTGAAGCAGCGGGTCATGGCTTTGATGCATGAGTTCTTGGTTTATAAATTTATCCTTCTGTGTTTGAGTATGCAGTCCCAATGTCTCCTGGTGTCCATGGTATCTGATGCAAGGGCGGCTGCCATCCTTATCATTAGTCTAAGTAAGATTGGTTTTTCCCTGCTATTGTCAAAATCATAGTCTGACTTTAATCGTTATGATTATGATCCTTCCCTTGTGCTTATTTCTTGGGATTCCTTGTGTTTCTTACACAATAAGTTGTCATTTTTCAGGGCAACTGTGTTCTATAAAACTTCTACATGTGCTGAGTTAATGAATACTGAACCATCACTCATTGGTGCAATATTGTTGGGTTTCCTTGAGCCTCTGGTCAAATATTTTCACCAGTTTATCAACACATAGCCTTGTTTAAATGTGCTTCTGTTTAGACATTTAATATATATTGTACTTTTTTTTAAAACCAAAGTATGTAAAACTTTTAATGAGTTAACCTTATAAAAGATAATGGCATTAAAACATCAGACAAGTTGAGGACAAAATTGTCCTAGGCTATGAGGACCAATTCTGTTGATGACAACATCATGCTGCTGGCTTGAGACACACAGAACCAAGGTGACAAGGGCCGTGGGTCGTAGTTGGCAACAAGACACTGGTGGTAAAACATGAGGGGGAGCACGGACCTCATGGGATGGGGACGAAGCTTAATATATCATTCTTACAAACAATTGTATGCAGTGCCAGCATGCCTGTGTTTTGGGGGTCTGATACAACAAAACACCATGGACAAGATAGTTCATAATGAATATAAATAATTTCTATTGATTCTGGAAGCTGCAAAGTCCAGGTTTAAGGAGCCAACACCAGGCGAGGGCCTTCTTGATCATTCTGATGTGGAGCACCCCCACACTGGTTGGAGGAGTTCCTGCATAATCCCCCAGTTTAGGTCTGCCCACCAGACACAGCAAAGTCACCCCCTGGATGCTAAGGTGGTGAGAGGAAGAGTTTGTTGGGAAACTCAGAGCAGAGAGTTGGGCAGCAATGCTTAGTTGTTGGGCTCCTCAGGGGTTAGGGGTAAGGGATCTTAGGGACTGAAGCTAGGACTGTCCATGCGTCTGCTTAGGCTGCAGTGCACACAGCCCTTCTTCTACTCTTCCACAATATTATATCCCTTACGGAATTTTTTTTAAAGGTTTATTTATTTTTATTGGAAAGTCAGAGAGGAGGAGAGACAAAAAGGAAGATGTTCCATCGCAAGTGGCCACAGTGGCCAGAGCTGAGCTGATCAGAAGCCAGGAGCTCAGAGCCAGAGCTTTTGGGTCTTCCACACTCATGCAGCGTCCCAAGGCTTTGTGCTGTCCTCCACTGCTTTTCCAGGCCACAAGCAGAGAGCTGGATGGGAAGTGGGGCTGCCAAGATTAGAACTGGTGCCCATATGGGATCAAGGCCAGGACTTCAACTGCGAGGCTACTGCGCCATGGCCCACCCCAGAGAATTTTTAACTATACTGCAATTGGCATAGTTATTGCTCTGGGTCTGGAGTTTCTGCAAAAGAAACCCTCGAGACAAGAGAGTGTCAAGGTGGTATCCATTGGGGGAGGTGCCCTCCTGAGTCCAATGGTTAGAACCTCTGGGGTTGGTGGTTGGGGATCTTGTAAGGCCAACTGCACCAGTCCTTCAATCCAGTGTGTTGCTTTTCGCCAAGTGGTTGAATGGCACTCATAAAAGCAGGGTGATGGGGCTGGCATGAAGGCTTAACTGGCTAATCCACCTGCATGTGGGGGTATCCCAAATGGACTCCAGTTCGTGTCCCAGTAACTCCACTTCCCATTCAACTCCCTGCTTATGGCCTGAGAAAGCAGTAGAGAATGGTCCAAAGCCTTGGGATCCTGCATCTGCATGGGAGACCCAGAAGAAGCTCCTGGCTCCTGGCTTTGATCAGCTCAGCTCCAGCTGCTGAAGGTATTTGGGGAGTGAACCAGCAGATGGAAGATTCTTGTGTGTGTGTGTGTGTGTGAAAAAGGGCGAAGAATCTAAGCTAAGAAAGGAGCTGGGAGACTGGTTCCTGATAGTGTCTAGTATCTGCATTCAAACCACTATGTAAGGGCTTGGTTTTAGTGTTGCCATGGAAGGTGAACACACAAGGAACAGTGAACCCACTGGTACAACAATAGCATTAGTTTGTTGCTGGGGGCATGGAGCTTTCATGAACTACATACCTCTTAAAGGTCTCGCCTTCCAATACCATCACAGTGGCAACCCAGCGTGGTGGCCTAACAGCTTAAAGTACTCGCCTTGAACGGACCAGGATATCCTATGAGTGCTGGTTCTAATCTCGCCGGCTCCACTTCCTATCCAGCTCCCTGCTTGTGGCCCGGGAAAGCAGTCAAGGATGGCCTAAAGCCTTGGGACCCTGCACCTGCGTGGGAGACCAGGAAGAGGCTTCTGATCAGCTCAGCTCTGGCCATTGCGGCCGCTTGGGGAGTGAACCAATAAATAAATAAATCTTAAAAAAAGGTTTTTTTTAAGATTCACCTATTTATATCGGAAAGACAGATATACAAAGAGGAGGAGAGACTCCATTACACAATCACCTCACATCCCTCTTAAATGAAAAGCCACAAAGTCAACAACAGGAAGAAAAATAGAAATGTACAACACCTTGTATTTCTCAAGAGGTTTTGATAGTTCAACAGTGAACCTACCACTCCAATCATGATGGAATCTCTCCTGAATCCACTGGCTGCTATAGTCCACGTTAGTGTCTCCGTCTGCCCAGATCTTCACTGTCATTGATTGGCTGGGGTAGTTGATCAATTTGTTCTGTCCTCTGTCCTCTGCCATGGTACCAGGTGTCCTCTGGAAGCTCTGATGTACTGCCATATCCTCCATGTACATTTGGATATGCTGTCCTCTGCTCCGTCTGAGCCACTGAGGAGGCCCAGCTCTGACATATCCACTCCCACAGTCAGCCCATGGAACTGCAATTCTCTCCGTGGTGAGGGGTCTGAGTCCAGCAGTTCAGTTGGTAGGGAATTGCCCAAGGAACTTCATCTGGGGCCATCTCAGACCTGATTCTTGTGTGTGTTTGCCAATACAGAGTCCGGCATAGTCTGTTACCCAAATCAGCCTACACACACTGATAGCTGCAATTGCTGGGTCAGTTCCATCTCCAGCCCCATGTTTTACAAAACCCGATAGGTGTTGGAGCCCAGCCCAATCCTGTGAGGCCTGATTCTGGCACATCCACTCCATGGTCAGACCACAGGTCCTGTGAATTTCCCCATGGCTGGAGTTCTAAATCCAGTGATATAGTTGTAGGGGATCCCCAAAGAAACCCTGCCAGAGGTGACCCCAGACCTGACTCCTGCA